GAGACGGAGAGACAGAGACAGACAGACAGAGGCAGCCAGAGACAGAGACAGGGACAAACAGAGACAATGACAGACAGAAACAGGCGGCGACAGAGAGACAGAGGCAGCCAGAGACAAACAGATAGAAAGACAGACAGACAGACGGACGGACGGACGGACGGACAGAGAGACAGACAGAGACAGAGACAGAGACAGAGAGAGAGACAGAGACAGAGACAGAGACAGAGACAGAGACAGAGACAGAGACAGAGACAGAGACAGAGACAGAGACAGAGACAGGCAGAGAGAGAGGCAGCCAGAGACCGAGGCAGAATGAGAGAAAGATAATCAAAGATAGACCGAGAGAGACAAAGACAGAAAGACACACTGGCAGAGAGACTGGGAGACAGACAGACGGACACAGACAGCGAGAGACGGGCAGAAAGTGACAGCGACAGAAAGCGACACAGACAGAGACAAAGACAGAAACAGACAGATATAGACAGAGACGGAAACAGACACACAGACACGGACACAGAAAGACATTAGAGACAAAGAAACGGACAGAGAGAGAGAGGGACAAACAGAGACAGAAGCGCGCCGACAGAGGCAGACCAAGGGTTGGGCTCCCCCCCTCCCTTTAGGCATACAGCCCTCCTCCCTCCCTCCCTCCCTCCCCACCACCGGCCCTTCCTCCCTCCCGTTCACTCCTCTTCCACACCCCCGCCCACTACTACTACTGCTACTTTTGCTGCTCTGGAAGCCTGCAAGAAGAAATAGTAGTAGTTTGTGGGGGGGGGGGTCAGGGCAAAGAAAAGTGCCTGATGACTCATGACTGTTTTCTCGCGTGCTTCCTGAGACAGAGACAAAGATAGAGACAGACAGAGACAGCACGAGAACACACACACACACACGCGCGCGCGCGTACACACGCAACCAACATGTCAACAAAGATCTCTCGCAGAGCACGTTGGCTTTGAGGGCGCTGGCACATTCTGCCGAGACGTTTCGCGAGATGGAGAGAGGCAGGCAGGCAGGCAGGAGATAAGTATGTTCTTACGGGAAAATCCTGCAAGTGACGATCTGCGCATGTGTGCCACCATGTGGCATGTGACACACATCCACATGTAGACACTGACAAAGCGCGATCATAGCCAGCGCAGCACCAAGGCAGATGCCGTGCACCTGCTGGACCACAGCCGCCGTCCTGAAACATTGTAATGACAGGCTTCGTATGTCTTCACTATCGGCTGTAGCTATTGAATACCTACAATCAGACAGGCCATCAGCATCCGATAATATGAAAGGAAAGTTTGCTGGGTGTGCGGACGAGGAAATATGAGTAAGTTAGGAGACGTCAGCACACCATCATGTCAGAACGAAACCCACCATCCAACATACCAAACTACAAAAACTTGAGATCTTTGGGCATGACTTCGTCAAAATGTTTCTGACATTTCTGTTTGTGCATAAGGAAGGAGTTCTTTTAAAGCAAACGGTCAGGGGTTGGGGTTTGTATGGCTTTGCAGTCCTTTTGGTGCGAGCTGCAAAGCCACGAGCCTGTTCAGCGCTGGCAGCAGGGTTGCAAGTCGTCTGTGTGTTTGCACTTACCCTTGCCTCGTCGTCCTCATGCTCAAGATCCTCATGAGGAGCGTGCACGAGAGCAGAAACGCTCTGCCGTCTGAGATAAAGATTGAAAGCTCTCGCGTGCGCCTCCGGAGCTTCCTCCTTGAAGGCACAGAAAAAAAGCAACTTCAATGTGCGGATTGGCGATCTTTCTGCCGCGGTTTGCGAGGACCCAACTCGTGCTGCACTCGGAGCACGGGGCACTGGGCTTTCCGAAGTGGACCTCCGCTGTGGGACCATAAGAGCTTTCCGAAAGATGCTCCGATAACAACCGAAGCAGACGCGTGGGTCAAGAAGGTTCGAAAAATCGGATGGGGCCGGTTAGGGCCCAGGGAACACGTCCAAAGAAACCGCCAAGCCTAAACTGAAAGTGTACCCCCAATTACGCTTCTTTTGATTCATGAGCCAAACGAATTTGAATGTCGGGTTCCTTTCTACACCATCAGATAACGTACATTGCTGCACATGGGGAAACATCGTTCTGACCGATACTGTAGGGACGGTGCACTTTGCGTTCAATGCGTAAGGATCATGCGGAAGTGATCATCTCCCTTAATATTGACTGTGAGCTGAAAAAGCAACAAGCTTGACATGCTTGACCCTTTGACTCCGATGTCTTTCAACCATTGTTGCTCAAAGCAGCCGGCGATGGAGATTAACACCAAAGGATCATGTATGATCCTCCTTCCGAGTTGAGTTTTGCGATTCAGATTTCGCTGGTTGTCTCGGTCCCGGTCAACAAGTAGATATGTGTCAACGCTCGAAGGTCCTTCCAGCTTTGCGCCATACATTGCTTTACATGGGGAAACATCGTCTGTAAGATCGTATTTCAACAGCTTAAGAACTGACATGCAGACCAGGAGACCTGGGTGCCATGGACAGTCCCGCCGGGGCTGCTCGCCGTGGAACCCTGGCCCTTGGATAGAAAGCCAAGCGGGCTGCCTTGCTCCTACGTAAATGCCGTCCCCCTCGAACCTGGCTGGCCGGCTCGACAGGCTCGTCGCAGCCTTGGCCAAAACTCAAGAGGCACTCGTTGCAAAGCAACAACGTTGAATGAGCCAGTGACAGGTACCGGTCCAGCTGATGGCGTCCCTTGCTTGCAACTGTTCCAGAACCTCTGGTTGGACAAGAGTCGAAACACACGCTGTAGCATCTTCTGTGCAAGTTTGACTGCTGAGGCCCTTGCGCCTCTGCAAGAGCCTGGCATGTTGGGGATGGTGCGCTTCTTGACTGGGGTCGTGCGAGGATCCAAGCGGGCCTCGTCCTCGCTGCTTGGATCACCGCAAGCCGTTGTCGGTTCCTTTTTCATGGCTTCACGGTGCGACAAATCGGCAATGCTGCACAGCAAGGAGGTAAGCCCCAAGCGGGTGAGGCCGGCATGCCTGACAAGTGCCAGCACCACAGGACCGCCAGGCAAACGAAAGACGCAGGGACCGCAAGTTTTAGTCAGTTTCCCATGCAAGCCGCCTTCTTGCTTGACTGCCTGCCGAGTCCGCGCGTCCGAGAATTAGCGATCTGACGGAAATTGGGACCCTGTGCGGCTCTTTTTGCCTGCCTGAACAGTCTTCCGCTCTACACGGATTTGTGCGGATCAGGTGGAGTCTGGAAGGAGGATCACTGCCAAATGCTGACTTCAGCCAGCTAGGCCACCGCTCACAGCGATGTAAGCCGAGTCAGCGAGTAGGCACATCGGGCAGCTCCATCCTGCCAAGTGCCCAGCGTGCCCAAACACCTGGCCAAGCTCCCCCGCCGGTCCTGAATGAGGAAGACTTCCTGAGCGGGTATTCTCGGTCACTTGACAGGATTCGCAGTTCCGCTCAGCGAGACGTCTTTCGCGGTGTGAGCACGGAAAGTCAGAAGAGGCTGGACCTTTCCAGAGGCCTGCAAAGGCTCATGTCGTCCTAGCACAACCCGCGGGGCTGGTACATGTTTGATACTATGGCTTGCGAGTATCTCCAGGCTGAGTACCAAAATGCTCACCGAAACTTCCTAGAGTCCTAGACTCAAAAAAACTATCCTTCCTGATTCCTCCTGCTTTGCATGAGAGTGCCACAGCTGCTACACCGGACCTCGGGCGAACCTGTGACAGTTTTCAAACTCGAGCGACTTGAAGCTACCACGAGCTTGCTGTTCATGCTTGTGCGACAGATACACTTGCAGTACCGGTTCCCCTCACACTTGCTATCATCTCTCCCTGTCTTACAATGCCTGCAAGCTACGCAGCTACCTTTGCGATTGATAAGTTCAAAACTCAACCGAAATCGAAAGCAGCCTGCGCTACAAGTGCGAGGTCAGAAGGAAGTATTTTAAAAAAACAACCGTACTACACTTGCATGAAACAGCAAGAACATGTCCGTGCACACAGTGTCCCTGCTGCAGAGCATCCGAGGCTTGAAGCGGATGGGACCTTGCGAGGAGTTGTCGATGACCACTTCCTTTGCCGTGGAGGAGTCGAGATCCTCAAAATCCCAACATCTGCGACCGGGCCAGCCAGCAACCGAAAACGGCCTCTGTCTGTTCAATTCGTGGAATGTTCGTGGTACCCACAGCTCCTGCGCCGCCTTCCAAGGCTCTTTCCGCTCACCCGGCCCCACGTAGAGCTGCCTTCACGGCAGTCCACCAAGAAATGCAACGGATCCCAGGCCCCGGTGCACCTTGGACGGCCAATGCGCATCTGCTTCTCCGAAACCTTCGCGAGAATGTGCGGAGGGGTGTTCATCTGCCTCTTGCCTACTCCCATCCAGAAGTTCAGGCAAAGGCCATCTCGTTCCACTGCGAAACCCATCCGACCGTCCTGGACATGGCAAACATCACCTCAGGCAGACACTCGGGGATCGGGATAGCCAGAGACTTCCGTTACGATCAGCTTGACGGTGCCAGTTTCGAACCCCTCAAGTCACAGGACAAAGCCCCCGACACCAAGCAACCGAATGAAATTCAGGCAGGCCGCCGTGAACATGCTGGTCGGGATGCCAATTGCTCGCAGCATAATCCCTGAGTAGTAGTCCACATTCGGGTAGAGCTTCCGATCTATGAAGTAGCTATCACTCAGGGCCACCTCATTCGCAATGCCAATTTCAGCATTCCATGCTGGACGGCTCACGGATGCGTCGCCTGCCTTTTCCAACTCCTGGGCGATTCCCAGGAGCGGATCTTCCACGCCAAGCTCTTTGAGCACCTGCCGAGTCACTATAGCTTCCAAGCTGCTACCGATTGTGACTTTGCTGGCCACGCTGCCTCCGCGACCAACGTCTTCATTACACGTGCTCTGGGGTCCTCGGGAAACTCCAGCCATTCCAGAAGGTTTTGCGCAGGTAGCAACGGTTTGCGGTGTAATTGAAACACCACGAGAACACCTCACGGCAGCTCGACACGACCATGTCGTCCACTCTCCAACGTCAACAATGAGCCCGAGCTCGAGGCGTCCCTTCAAGAGGGCATTTCTGAGGCTTCCGCAAACGAGAGGGACACCATCGGCACTCATGCTTTGCTCTAGAGGCTTGCAAGGCACGTGATATCTCGTGATAGGGGAGTCGGAATCAGGCATTCGGTAAAATGACAGACATCTTCGAAGCACAGCCGTGGGGCATAATTCTTGTAGACTCGATGGCCGAAACCCATCAGCCGTACCCCTTCCTGCACGGAGGCGCCAAAATGCTGTCGTCTCATGAGTTCGCGCGAGCGTTGCCGGCCTTCTTGGCCTTCACATCAGCCACAAATTGAGCTACCTTGTCTTTGCTTCCTATCTGCTCCAGCATGTTGATGACCTCAGTCTCTGGTGCCAAGGAAGAAACAGCAGATTCGTTAGTTTGCATGGCCTTTCTGCTGCAGATTGCAACCTGAGCGATTCTTGCTCCGAGAGGCTGCCTCGTTGGCGCCACCGTGGGCTGGGCCCCAGAGGGAAGCTACGCCTCGCGCGTGAAGCTGATGGAAGCGCTTGACCATGCAGGATGAGCGCACATGCATGCACGCCAACTTAGTCAACATTACTCCCCAGATAGCCAGGTAAGTAAGAGGATGCGCTGTGTCCAACAGCGCCGCAGGGGGCGCAGCCGCATGCAGTCGGCATGTAGGCTGTGTCCACCGCCGCCGAACCGGTGCAGCGGCATGAAGTCGGCATGCAGGTTGAATGCAGGTGGGGAGCAGTCGGCAGGCAGCGGCATGCAGGCGCCGTGTCCGCCTTGGCCGTATGCAATCCGCATGCAGGAGGTGCGCACTAGGTCCACCGCCGAATCAGAAGGCGCAGCGGCATGCCGGCGGGGCAAGCAGGGCATGCAGTCGGCACGCATGTGGGGCGCACTGTGTCGGCCACCGAAAGGGGTGCAGCCGCATCCATCGGCATGCAGTGGCATGCAGTCGGCATGCATGTGGGGCGCTCTGTGTCCATCGCCGCCACAATGCATGCAGCGGGCCCATGCAGGTGGAGCGCGCTATGCCGCTATGTCCACCGCCCCAATGCAGTCCATCAAGTTGAGCTGCCCTCGGAAATCTACCTGAACTGCCTGGAGGGCTACTTCATGTTGGCTTCTCTCAGGCGGCTGTCTGCCTTGCATGATCAGCAAATGCCGCGCCAGACTAGGCATGTACCCTCGGAACGATGTGGTTCAGTGGCCCTGGATACCCTTCCGGAGCCTTCAAGGGCGAACTTCTTGAGAATATACAACAGCTGGACGAAGCCGAGCGCAACTGCGCGCGGGAGCGCACGCTTGTGACGATACCACTCATGACCAACCCACAAGGGCCGAAATGATGGCTCACGATTTCTTGAGCTCTGAGACGCACTCACTGTGGAATCTGTGGAATGCAGTTCGGCAGGCGTCAGCACATCTGCCCTTCGAGTCGACTTCTAGGCGAAGCTTAGCGCTAAGCCGGCTGTGGTCTGCCGCCTAGGCGCGTATGTCCGCGCACCGCCCGGGCTCTTCAAGGATACCATCTCGCACTCCAAAGCCGCGGTTTTGCTTAACTCAATGGTCGAAGGATGCTGTCCAGACTTTAGATGGACGTCCATCAACGTCCAGTGCAACCTATGTTCGCCTCAGCACAGAGACACTCTGAACGCGGCAGGAAGCAGTTGTGTCATCCAGCTTTCTTGCAGTGAAGGTGGCCAAGTCTGGATCGAGGGCGACGTCTACCAGGAGGTCCAGCGCAAAACCCACCTTCTCGCCGGGCGATTACATCATGTGCTTGGCAGCGCCATTGCCACCCAGCAATGGCAGGTCTTTGTTGCACTCATCACCTACACGGCCGGAGGTTGGCAGAGGGTAACTGTCGGCACGCAGCAACGACTCGAGGCCTTAGGCTTCCGCCTACCGTGCAACAGTTGCATGCCGAACATATCCGTTCTGCCTCCACAGTTTTCAGTATTTTAAGTGACAAAAGGCACAGCCTGGTAGAATTCCGACACAGTTGTTTGCCAGGTACGTTGAGTTGCATGTACAGCTATTCCGGTTGCAGTAATCCTCAACAATCGCCTAGATTCGTGCAGGCTGTCCATGCGAAACAGGTAGATTGCCGGCAATGCTCAGTCTCAGAACATTTACGTGCAGAGCGACTCTCACACGTCATATCGCTTGCAGGTTTGAGCGCTGCGGGTGGCCCAGCACGAGACGATTGGGTCCACGTTCCCTTCCGTTCTTGTGAAGCTCCAGCCCAGATGGAAGAAGCTTAGTAACAGACTTGCTGTACACACAGATTCAACCTTGTTCCTGCACAGCAATCTCGCTAGGCAGCACGCAGTCACGCTCACCAGCACGGCATCAAGCGATTTCCTACAAAAAACAGTTCTACCCCTGTGCCACTGAGGTAAGACTCTTCGCTGCAATAGGATAAGAATTTATCTCTGAAGGATATCTACGAGGTTTTGCCAAAAGAGCCCGAGAAGCGTTAACTTCAGCGCTTTTCCAGACACGACACAGCACGGGGCACAGCCCACCGACAGGGTGCGACACAGTCGCTGGCCAGGTCCCGTAGTCAGCCATGGCGGCGGACGCGCAGTTCCAGGTACTCAGTGACAGCACCCTGCACACCCTGCGCTATGTTCTCAGCTGCCCTGGAGCAGCGGTGACGTCCATCATGGAACTATTGCGCTGGCAATTCGGACAAACCATGGGGGAGAAAAGCTTCAAAGCTCCCCTTCAAAATGCCGGTTTGGCATCATGTCAACTCCGATGTCAACGTCCGCTACATTCCCATCGAACGCAACCTGCTACCTCAGTGTCAGAAAAGCTACTATACGATTTTCTCGCCGATAGGCGAGTTCAATATGGGTTCTCGGACAAAAACCTACACGGACAGGAGATCATGACCGTGGAATCTTTTCCGGAAGTAGGTCAGCTGTACCCCACCAAGGACCTGCACTTCCGGCCACAAGCAGCGAGGACTGCCATAGGAACGCTCGTCACCTGCGCGTTCACCTCCATGAGACAAGCTATGCCTCAGGCCATGCCGGTGCGTGTAGTCGCCAATTGGAATGCCAGATCGCAAGGTATGAACAACGAGATGATGGAGGCAAAGCTTTGCCCCGCCGCAGAACAATGCGCGACCTCGCTGAAGTCACTGCTCATTATTCCCACGCCTGGCACATGCGCTTCTATTATCAGCCTAGCAAGGCTCAGATGCCGGTGCCGAAACGTTTGTTCCAAACGTACATGCACGATGAGGTGCCTCGACCTCGCGCCATGGCTACGCAAGTCAAGGACTATGAGTGCCTGCTCTGCGACGACCCATTCTTGCGCCAAACTCTGCATCAGGGGGCCGGCTCCTTCGGCCTAGCCTAGCCCTCATCGACAAGCTGAAGTCTCCTGCTCATAGAGCGGACGTATTATGCGTATTCCGCTATGTTTGGCGATCGTTGTTTTTCCAGTCAAAGTTAGGGGCCAAAGACAGCCTGACAGATGGACTCGAATGGCACGACAACTACTCGGCTGAAGGCTCAAGAACACTCCATGTAACAAAACTCAGCCGCCACCTTCAATGATCGCAACGAAATACATTGTCAAACTAGAAGCTAGCTGGCTGCTCATGAGACTCCAAGTTCCTGGCCCGTGCGTTTATTTTTGTGAAGTGGCTTTTCAATGTTTTCCATGCTCCTGAAACTTGATAGCCCTGTCACACACAAGAACAGGATGTTTTTGCTCATAAGATTGTGGCTGATGGTCTGGAGTTCGAGTTTCAACCCAGAGTATGCTTGCCTACAAGCCGAAACATACAAAACTCCACCTCACAAGTGCGATCTGGTCCGCTTTCAAATTTCTTGCAGGCAGCGTTTGCATTGGTAATTGCCCGTTGTGCAGCAACGTCGCATGTTTTGTTGTGAGTGGTTCTGGCTCTCTTCCTCTCTCGGCGCCCGATGCTCCAAAAGATTGGACATTGGCTGGTCCTTCTCTGTGGTCTTCATGTCGGAAGCTCGAAACCCTGGGGCACCGGACACCAAACTTCTCTCTGTCACACCCCGACAGGCCGCACTCAGGAGCGACAGCAAGTTGCGGCAGGCTGCTCAAGGTCAAGCTTGGATCGAACGGCTCGGAAACGCGCTCTTGCTTCCCTCGTAAACTGCTACCTTGCTGTTCTCAGACCCGGCTTTTTGCTGTCGGAATCTTCCTTCCCTTCGGACGGAGTCGGCAGGTCCACCTCGGGGGTTTGGGCAACGCGCTCCTGTGTATTCCAGCCGAGTTGGGAATTACTCCCCTTGTTTTCAGAGGCTGGTGCCCCTCGTCTGGTGCGCTGCAGTTCGGTTCCTTGCTGATCGTTTGCTGCACTTCTCGCCCAACTGGGGGTCGTAGCTCCCCGGCATGCCCAAATTGATACCGTCGTACGCTGCGGCATCGCTTAATTTCCTTCCTCTGCCTTCGGTGGGCTTGGTAGCTCGTGGTTTGGTGCCGCGCTTTGCACCATCATCTGGTTCCAATCATCTCGCCGACTCGCCTGTCGGGGTCATCTCACCTGAATCTCCCCCAACTGTTTTTGCTTCGGAGAACTAGTGCGAGGAGCAAATCCCCGTACATCTGCGATGTTGCATCAATACGTCGCCTCTCGAAGAATTTGCAGTTTCCTCCATTAATTCCTCTGAAAGCCTTCGCTGCGACGCTGCCCTCGTTTGTGCCGGCCAAGTCTTGCTTGCCTTTCCCTTGCATTCGGATGGAAGATGATGGAAGCCTTTCCAGGCGGCACCATGACCACACTGCAGGCCGGGCCCAAACGAAGGACTACATGGGGATGGCCTGGCACGACGCACCTCCTAACCCAGACTCTTGTAACAAAAAACTATCCCAGCGTTGACTCTCTCATGGCAACGAATCGCCCAAGTCACGACAGTCAGGCGATCTCTATCACTTTCTGCAGCATGCCCATGTGTCATGTTAACACCAGGTATCTCTCCTCATAGCTCCGTCCCTGTTTCTATCTCTGTGTCTCTCTGTCCCTCCCTCTCTCTTGCATGAGACTTTTGGCAGATGCCTGCAGCGATGCAGGCATAAGGATTGGCCTGCGGTGCGGCATCGGAAGAAGGTAACAAGTTCGGAAAGGATTCAGAACAAGAGATCAATTTGCATGGCTGTACTGGAGAAGCTGCCGAGCGAATCACAAAAAGCGTTCCGGCCTTGCCTGCGAACTGCCTGCAATGCGTACCGTGGAAGTGGAGGCATTCTGTTCCTGGGCTGGCTTCGTGCAAGCCTCTGTGCAAGTCTACGCAGCAAGTCGAAGTTGATATGGCCAGGCTGGTGTATGTAATTTTCTCAATCGCTTCTGTAAGCGGCATGGTCCATGTGCAGGATCATGAAGGCATTGATTGCCTTCGCCGATACTGGGTTCACACTGTACTCCTCCATAGGTGTGGCAAACATCATGTACCTTATGTTCGCGCTCAGAGCAAGTTTTGAGATGTTCTGAGATCGGTCAGGCTGCAGCTGCGTTCCACATTTTACCTTTCTATACCTTTCTCAAACTGGTGGCAGGAAGTTCTCTGCAAAGGACAAGTCGGCCCTCGGGTACATGAATGGCTGACCTCGGCTCAAGCAGCCTGCTCTGTGACACTCAGCAGAGATGCTTTCCGCCACACGACCAATGGAAGTCTTGTAGGCCATGCACGCCAAAACCTTGGATTTTCCATCCAAAACTGAGCTTTCATTCATGCACAGGGATATACAGGGATCAAGACAAGTGCACACGTGGAACGACCCTTCAGACCATTTGCCATTTCTTCAAGTGTGCAGGTCGTGATGGGACGAGAAAGGCAACAAACCCTACAGCAGCAAGCAGCAAGTGGCTCGTGAAAGAAATGAACGCAGAGATGGAGGCACAGATGAAGACCAGGCTGGAGCGTCAAATGGCGCAGGTGCGGAATGCTTGCATTAAGGAGCGTGAAGTTCAGGAACTCAGACACGCGGATGTCAACCAGATGCAGAGCTGAATGAATCCGTTCCAGGCGACCTGTATTTCTGCGCTACAGTGCCGCTACAGATGGACGGCCATTAGCACGAATGGTAACAAAAAACCCAGGTGCGTGTGAGCGTGCCGTCGGAGCCATTGACACAAAAACAGCTCAGAGAGAACGGGAACGGAGCGTGGGCACCTAGGCCGTAGGCATCCGTAGGCCCTAGGATTCCAAGATTCCAAGATCAATAGCTCGCGCATTGAAGCGAAAACCTCGTGATGTGCTGGGCCATTGTAACTGGAATGATTGGACTGTCGCTGCTACGGATGCAGATGGCTGATGGTCGAAGAAAACGCGTGAGCAGTGAGCGAGTCTTCGTGTGAAAAGCAGTTTCTGCAACAATGGACACGTCTACTGTTGACCGTCGTAGCTCGCATCGGCAGCATCATGGCGAGACATCTGATGAGTCACGTCACATGCTTTTGAGACTCCCTGAATCTCTTTGTCTTTACCGTGTGGTTCTGGCTTAAAATTGTACAGTGGTGCGCAGTGCAGTGAGAGTACGCGGAGCCAGTGTTGCCATCAATAGTTTGCTGCTGCTGAACATCACCTTCGACACAAAGGAAGCTACAACAGCTGAGAGTGCGGCAGGCACCTTGGCAATGAGGCGTGTGCAAGCCAACCAGCGGTGTCTGGCGAGAAAGCAAAGGATTTCGACCGTTATTTGTGCAGATGGGTAAATATGGGCAACATTTGTCGAGTCACATCTCGTTGGATGGGTCGAGCTCGCTGAAGACAGAGCTTAACGCGCCAATGACAGCTACCTTGCAAACAGGATGCTTTGTGCTGCCTTTGCTGTGTTCACTATGTTCACTGCTTCAGGAATGGGTTGACACAATCATGAAGGTGGAAGCCTGAACCTCTTGGAAGCTTAGAGTATACTGCTACTGCGCATCTGCATGCAGCTGCTAAACTAGCAAAATGACCCCCTTCCTGATGCCAGAGCTTATAGTGTCTTCCCAGAGCGCTCAACACCACGCAAGAATTGCAAGAAGCCGACAGTCAGCCAAAGCACGGGAAGCTGAGTGTGATAACGTAAAGCCACGCACCAACAGAATGCAACGCCCACAATAACACTTTTTTGTGCCTGTGTCATTGTTTAACAAACACTAGTCCAATGCCGAGGTGCCATGATGGCCATTGGATGTGCATTGATGGTGAAGTTTGTGAACATTGCTTTCACCTTTTCATGCACCAACCTGAGATGCAAAGTCCTGCTTAGAATGTAAGACCGTGACCGATCGACCCTTGCATTCTTCACTTCTTGGAAGCGAGAGTCATGTGCTGTTTGATCTCTTTCTGAAACTGCAGATACTGCTCTGGATCGGGCTTCTCGCCGACGAGGAGGAGGTAAGCAACCTTGGGCGGCTAACGAACAACCTGACCGGTTCTGGTGTCGGTCAGAGGGCCTCCAATGCCTGGGCGGAGTCGACGAGGTCCTGCACGAAGGACGAGGAGGAGGGACACTACACACGGCTACAAGCTGTCCGGCACTGGAAAGCCGCGGTAAAGGCAGACTCCCTGCACAGGGGCGTGTGTGACAAGCGCAAGCTTCCTGAGAAGTCTGAGATTTCTGGGAAAAATCAAGCAAAACAGCCTTGGGACCGTCGATGAAGGTTATGGCCGACATGCACGACCCCGTGCATGTGAAACCAGGGTCGTACACAAAGTAGCCTGTTGACCTGTTCGGACCACACTGGCATTGCTTGCGTGGCATTGCCGGCGGCAGTGGTCCTCTGCAGACGGTATCTTAGCTTCAGACCGGTGCAGGTCTCGAATGTCCAGGAACAGCTCTTCGCCCAGCGTAGGCTTTAGAACCTCAGGTCGACTGGAGGCCACGTCAGATCTCGCTATGACCGCCACGCACCGTAGGCACCTTGATGCGATGCTCCTTGCCATTTGGAAGCTTTAACACTGCCTCAGGGCGAATCAAGGATTGCTGCCACGCAGGACACGCACTGTCGCATCTCAGGCCTCCGGAGCGTCATCGCCGGATGCGGTCGGGGATCCACCGAAGAAGCAAGCCATAAAGACAGCAGACTGTATCACTGTCACTGCCTTCTTCTGCCAAAAAAGTCCTTTCATTCGATATCACGTGTCAAGTTTAACGACCTCATGGCATGACTCAAGCTTCTCGCGAACTCAACTATCAACTGTACAAGGCGCAACTACGAGCCTAAGTTCTTGCTGCATGCTTGTGAGCTGATGAGCTTAAATGGCGAATCTGACAAAAAGCGTGGAACCGAAGCTGTGCAGAAGGCCTGTGGCGGCGGCGGTGGAGATGGGGATGGCGAGGATCCACGGGGTGCCGACCTTAGCTGAGGCCGCTGAGGCCTGCGGCCTGCAGCGGCCAGCGGCCCTGACCAGGCCCAGCGGGTACTGGACGTCGCCAACAGCCCCGACGGAAAGATGTAAATTGTGAAATATTGTGAAATGGTTCGGTGGTAGTGTGATTATGTTGTTGGATTCTCGACGATACTCCCATGCACCATCACAGCCGGGGACAGAGAGAGGGCTGCAGCAGGAGGGGTGGACATTGCCGGCATACACTGCGTCGCGGCATGTCGCGGCTCTGGTGTAGAGATGCATGAACAGTATAGTAGTATGGAGACCATCTCCTCTTGGGCACAGCAACGACCTGCTGGGCTCCCTGGCGGTGGAGGTGGAGGGAGCGACCCGCGCTTCTCACAGAGCCGCCGCTCGACCGCTTGCGCCTGACGGCTGTTGAGTCGACTGCACCACGTGCACCGCAACGCACCGCGCATGACTCACACGATCGTCACTCGTTTTTTGCTTCAACTCACTGCGTACGCCACCAGAGCAATCGCCAATGCCTTGGTCTGGCAGTCGTTCGCGAACCCGAGCCCTTAACCTAGGATCCTTTGGGATGGCCATGCAATTCAGCGAGTGATCAGTGACTGTAAGTGACTACACCGAAGCGACCATGAGCGAGTGATTAATGACTTTAAGTCTAAGTGACTACACCGAAATGACCATGAGCGAGTGATGAGTGACTTTAAGTGACTACACCGAAACGACCATGTATAGGCTATGCCTAGCATCCTGTAAATCTGCGAAGTGCCCGCAGCCAAGAATCAAAGCTGCAAGAAGTGAGCTGGTGCCGAAGGCAGCGAAGTAAAAGCCAACATGGTGGCTCCAGTGTCGGAACGAAAACCTTGACTCTGAGGCGCTGGTGATCTCTGGTGTCTAAAAATTGTCGACATCAAGCTCGCTTGCCAGACATGAGGCATGAAGGGATACGGCCAGAGCTTCGAAGCTTGCCAGACCGACAAGAGGCAAGCCAAGTACCTTTGCTGACAGTACTAGTAGTACCACTGTGATGACAACGAAATCCGCTCGCAGCAGCACAGTCTGCTCCGCAATTGGACCAGAGGACCACATTCCAAAGAGTAGCCCCTGCAGCAGCACGGGCCAAGGAGACCTGATCAAAAAGTGCTGCCACATAGAGGCCTGCTGCCTCCTAACTGCAGAGGACCGAGGACAAAGTCTAAGTGCCTCCCCACGTCCCTCCGCACCTCGGCAGATGGCGCTCGAGCAATTCAGCATCACGAGTCCTTTCGGCGGGTTTGCCGCCGACAATCACATGAGCCAAAGATGCAAGGCTGCAAGGCTTGAAGGGCAAAGACGCACGTTCCGGAGCTCAATTTGCCAGGGATCGCCGCAGTGACTAGCGAGGTCATCAACTGCCACAGGCACATGTTCAAAACAACCCACTTTGCACATCACTACCAAGTTCTGGTCTAAGAAAGGTGCAAGCAGCATGACTTGAGAAGCTGAAGACTCTCCCAAAAGTTGCATGCGTCGCGAATTTCGATCGGAAAAAGAGCCGTACGCAATAACAAAGTCCTGCTGCTCTTGCAGCAAACAGTCGGGGCAAAAGAAGCGGTGATGGATACTGTGAGGGCGAGAACCCACTTGTTGCCAAAAAACGGCGCCCCAAATCCTGTCGCGGGGCAGGTTTTCTCTGGCAATTAAAAGAGACACGACTCCTAACTATTAGTTTGTTGCACCATGTCATCGACGTGAGGAAAATCTGGCTTTGGAGAACCAAAGCCAACCAAAGTGTGCCAGCCCTTCATACTTGCCACGCTTTTCCAAAAACTTCCCAGTGCTGGGTTCGGCAGTGTTCTGACCCTTGGACGCGCACGGGTCCGCCTTCTTGAGGGTTTCAATGAGTACGACTGAATCCAAGACGTGCACATGACTAAGTGAACGGACGTGCAGATCTCACATCATGGAGCACTTGGAAACGCAATCGTCTCCGTTGCAAGGCTCGTCTTGGCTACTGTGCCGTGTGATGTCCGTTGCCATTCCCCAAGGGCGGTGGATTCAAAACAAGGCATCCAAAAAAGCAAATAAACAACGATCAAAAAACGAAAATTCATTTGCACCTAGCCCAAGGTCCTGTTCTACGTCAATCTATTGGGGATTCCAACTTGCTGCGGCTAGCCATTATAGGGAAGTACAATGTGCAGCGTCCAGCTTTGAGGCAGGCCAACTGAAAACTGCCGTCGCATTTACAGGGTTTTGTGTTGTGTCAAGCCAGTGGGGAACTGCAATTATCAACGTAGTTTGTTCGTGATTGATGTATTTATTCATTTCTTTCTTTCGTTCCTCTTTTCTTTCTTTCTGTACTTCGTTACGTCGTTCTCTCTTCCTTTGTATTTCTGTTGCTGTTTCTGGTAGTTCATTCTTTCTTTCGTTCTTTCCTTCTGCCTGAATCTGTCAGTTGCAGTTCGTGATCTCACTGTAACTCGCATTTTTATTTTGCCAGACAATTGTGCGCTACTTGCTTTGGCTTTAAGGCCTATCCAATTTCCAAGGAAGTTGTACGCCTGACTTGGCAGCAGCTTCTCCAACACAGGACATTCTGAAAGGAGGCAGAGGCAATCACTGTAATGGTTTGACGGCAGATGGCATGAACTTTCTCGGCTGAGCTGGCCTGCGGGGTGTGTGCAATCACTTGGTCCTGACGGTTATAGCTCGCGATGCTCTCATGGCTCCGGCAGTTCTGCAGTCTGCAGGCAAGTCGCTTGCCACCACTCTTCCTCGGCCGGGATTCTCGATGAAAGACGCAGCCTGGGCTCAAGATTCGAAGCTGCAGTCACACGTGTGAGATCCAAGCTGGATCCAAGACGACTTTGGGCAACCCGCCGAAGTCTTCCATCTCGCAGAGCTTTGCGGATGAAGTGAAGACTCACCTGTCAGAAGATATCAGACGGCTCACCATGCCTCACCAAGAACGCGCACAACGACCGTTGTTCATGGCTAACCATGCCTTATCGTTATGCATCGTGACAGCATACGCCTCGCGGAGGTGCGCCAGCTGCAAGTGCAAGGCAAAAGCTGAGAGAATAATCCCGGAAAAAAAGCCCACCAGCCACAGGGCTGCACGGTCAAATCATGGAATGTCTCCAATTCAGTGGCACATATGGGCGCATGTCATCTACGTGCTGACCGGGTGCTGCGGAAACGAAGATGCCAAGGCCACCAAAAAATGGCTCCCCAGAGTAGCAGATCCATGTTAATCTTAGTGAGATGAGTTGGCCCCGTTTGGCTAAGAAACAATAGCAGAGCGGCTCTTTGAGAAGTGACGGCCTAGGGTCTCGAGAGTACCAGGTGTAACAGCGTCGTGGCATCGGGACTCAGTGACATTCCCCTCACCTATCACGAATGCATTCCTGCATGCCAATGCCGTTCGCACCTGTTACGTTTGGACATCATGGACTTCTGGGCACTTACCACCGATTGGGCTGAGAGAGCAAGGCCTACCAGTACCTAGCTTTGCAAATCTAGACAAATGCCAATTCAATGTCTTGAGGTTCTGGCAAGCAAAATCACGAACCTCTACTTCACGAAACGTAACATCCAGTTCCCACTCCCATCGCGGAAGGCGAGCTCAACCTTGGTTGCCCGGCATCGGTGCCCAACAACTGCTGAAATTGCTTTCAATCTGGGGTCCTTGCGAGGCGCAGGAGACTCCAACTCAAAAGCAGCACATTTGACTGTGTCGTGAGACATGAGAACCTTCCTTGGGTTGCCAGTGCTTGCCATCAATGTGCTCCAACACCGCTAGCAGCTCCGCTAGCATCTGGCAGTGTGAAAGTCCCCCACACACTGAACAGATCCAAGACACCCAATGGGCTTGCCGACATGAAGCCAAAATTCCTGAGACGAATGGTCTTGGTCTAGGTTGCACTCACCGAGTCATAGTTTCTCGAGGCACACATACTTCAGGTCGGCATAAACCTCAGTCCGGGACTCCTGAAACCCTACACTCCGAAGACAACATCAGTGGTCCTGGCTGAAAGCCTGGCAATATGCGTCTTGATGAGAGTCTCGTGGACATTTGTGGACCAAAGAGCTGCAGTGCTCGTCACCGCAACACTGACGAGAGCGACGAAAGCTTCCATGGCTGCCGCCAGTCGGCTCTCTAGACTCTCCTCACCATCCCCGGAACCCCCCAGACTCCCCACGAGCCACGAGTCGAGCGGCCAGAGCAGGCTCGGTTGCGTAACCTCTGCCCTGCTGTGCCCTTCATCGTTCTCCCTTTCGCGCCTCTTCCCGGGAACGCTGCAAAGTCGCAGGGCTCAGCGGTCGGGAGACCGGCACAGGCACCGGCACCTTGAGACAGTCCGAGACCGTTTGAGCGCTTCAAAATGGCTGCGATGCGCCTCAGGCTCTTCTGAAGTGAAGAATGACATTTCCCGAAGAGCCCTGTCGCATCCTCAGATGAATATCATGGTAAAACACTCTTCGCCTCCGGCAGCCTGCTATATCCATGTAGTGACTGAAGCTGAACAGCATCCAAGTCGCGCAGGCGCCGCTGTCCATCATAACGGAGGATGCTCTCGAGCATGTCCACAGCTGCCTGTGCAACAGACTTGATTCCTGCTGTATATCGGGCTGTGGAACCTCCCACAAATCGCGTTGAATTGTGCACGTTGTATTCATGCAAGTACTCAGAGCTTTTCGATGCTTTTCTCTACACGTACCCTGCTTCTGTCTTCGAAGTCGCTATGAAGTCTGCTCGAAACTCCTGGCTCAGGTTTCCGACTGCTTCGACTCTTGCGGTTCGAGCATTAATAAAGGACAAAACATCCTGTTCGAATAAGGACATGCCAAATCAACAATGCAGAGACTCCACTATCCATTTCACCAGAAGAGCGGATGAGCTTGTTCAGACACTGCGCTCTGGCACAAAGCAGGTCGGCGTGGGCTTCTTTCGGAAATCAGGAGTATTCCTTCAAGCCTAAACCCTAAATCAATGACTTCTTAAACCAAGGGGATACCGGCTCTGCGGAATACTACCCTCTTCCTATACCCCGTCAATGTATTCTAACCTTGCAGGCACCTGTCATAAAATCTTCGAGATGAGAACCGTTTCCAACCCATAAGCCCTACAAAACGCCAGAAGATACCGGTCTAGATGTTCAGGCCCCTAATATGGCAAACTGTCAGGGTCATCCCCAAACGTTCATGATCGCGACCCGTCTTTTGAACACAGCGGCCAGTGCAAACAAGCAATACCTTTGAAGGCAGGAGCAGTGAGATGCTTTGGGCCGGAGATTGGACCCCGATGCTTTGGCCCTGCACGGCTTCATCTTCACAGAATCCATCTCAGCCCGGCCCAGCCCGGCCCAGCCCTGCCTGCGAAGCGCCAGCCTCCCGCAGGCTCTGCCAGGCCGCAGGCTCTGCGTTTTTGCGCCCCGAGGCCTGTGACCATGCTGCCATGACCCCGTATGCCCCATGCCACATTCCCCCTTCATGCCGAGAGCCTCCACCAACTGCGCAGCCAGTGGCCTCAGGAGCTTCATGCAGTCTGCAGCCGGCGGAATCACTAACTTCTGCATGCCTTCACGACGGTACATGCTCACGACAAACGTGGGGCAGGATTGGCCCTCAGGTGCCGGCCAACCTTCGCTCTCATCTGGGGCACCGAGCTCCTCGAAGCTTGACGTCAAAACCCTCCGAGAAGTTGTGACTCTCACATTTGTGGATCTTTGCGGCAATCTCAGGCGCAAGCCCCGCAAATTCGAAACAGCATATCCTGAGAAGTTCATCTGCAGTGAGAATACAAACAGCAAGGATCGGCTCACACAGAGCCATTGCTTCAAGCATAGGCAGGCTGGTGCACGCATGGGGGTCTGAGATGCAACTGGAAACCTGTCTGAGATCCCCCACACGCGTGTCCGAACCTGGAACCCAAGGCCTGCGGCAACAGCCGGACCATGCCTGCACTAGTCGGAAAAGTCGGACCTCCTGAGTATCAGCTCCGCGATAGTACAACCAGCGGACCAGAGATCAACCTGAGTACAATCAATGTGGAAGTTATTGGCTGCCGTACACATCTCACAACCATTATCGGCATCGGACGCTGGAATCTCCACGGGAGCCGAGGAAAAGCTCTGGCGCCCGATACCACCGAGTCCTAAGGCAGAAAGATAACAATGCGTGTACTCGTATGCATATGCATATGCATGTATGTATGTATGTATGTATGGATGTATGTATGTATGTTTTCATACATACATACATACATACATACATACATACATACATACACACACACATACATACATACATACATACATACGTACA